ACCTTTTCAAAAATGCTAGGAACTTACAGTGATAAATAATGAAAAGCAGATGGATTCAAAAAGATAATCAGATTTGTGAAGATTTATGTTCATAAATTAAAATCCCTGGAACTAGAAGTAATGGGTCAAAAATAAACAGTTCAAGGATTTTTGGTAGATACATTGCCCAGCTGCCTATCTTGTTTTCTTCATTTGTGAATTACCTTGTATCTATTCCTCTATTAGAAATATTTAATTCTTTAAAAGTTTAAGATGACTTAATCCATACTTCCTTCATGACACCTTCCTTCCCTGGACTCCCCTTTATGCCTGTGTCAGGAGATCATTTACTACGCCCTCCTTTTGGGGTCTTCAATGTATTATATACACGTTTCTATTATAGTCTAATCATTCTATGTTCAATTTATGTTTACATATCTATCATCTATACTGATTTGAGTTTCTGGAGGGTAAAACTTTAAACAACGGCACATAAAATATTACTTAACATACACAGTTCTTCATAATGTTCACTGAATGAACTGAATCGCATATCAAAGGAGTCTACTAGCCCAGATTTAAGAGGACCCCAGTCTCTAATTTGCTAATTATGATTTTAACCAAATACAATTCAAAAAAACTAATAAAATTTTCTACTCAGGATGTCAATATTTACTAGTGACCAAGTGATTTTGTTTGTGATTAGGCTAACTAAATCTCTGTAGTGCTCCTTAAAATCTCTAATTATAATCACATAGGTATTATCTGATCTTACTATTTTTTAATGTTTATTTTAATGTTTATCCAAAAAAGATATAAACAAGATTCTCATTAAATTTTTATAATCTTAGTTAAGTTCTATAGTTTTCAAAATCATATTTATCAAAGTTATTTAATAATCTACCAATTTACCAAAAAAAAAAAGGTCATTCATTAGTTAGGTTTATAAAATATAAGAATATATCACCCAAATAAGTCCTTATACAACATTTCAGAATTACAATTTCTTATGTTCAAAAAAAAAAAAAAAAACCACCCAATTTCATGTTTAACAGTTAATATCTACAACAATCTACCAAATATAGAACCAAGTTGGAGGAAGACTTACAAGAGAGAAGTAATAAGAGATCCTTACAGTAATCTTAAAGACAAGCAGCTCCCTCTGTAGTCTGTTTGGCCTACTTTGTTTTAATTACTCGGTTTGTGAACATCTCACAGGCTTCTGTTTACTCCTACTTTTCATCTCAGCAGGGAAGCTCTTTGAAAGGATAATTATGTGTAACCTGATGCTGGGAAAATCAAGAGTTGTCTAAGGTCAGCATAAAGGGAGTTATATCAAGAAACTAAGCAAAAGGTGAGATGTGGAAATTGGACAGTATCCAGTTAGGTCCTCAGCAGGATGCCCCAGGATTTTATGTGAAGCAAATTCCCTGAGTAGTCACACCCGCATTCAGACATAAGTGAAAAAAACATTGTCCTGTACTTTATTCATAACCTTGCTTTTTTTCCCCACTAAAACATAATACTAAAATGTCATTTAAAATTTAACCAATTATTCTACAAATACTACTACTTAGGACATAGTTGCATCAAAGTAATGTTCAAGTCATTTAAAAAACAAGTTTAAGGATGGAAAGACGGTTCAGCAGGTAAAGGCATTTACTGTGAAACTAGATCTGAGTTGGATCCCAGGGACCTACATGGTGGACTGAGAGAACACATTCTCTTTGACCTTCAGACAGACTGGTGAGCAAGCATGTGCACACACACACACATGTACACACTTGAACATTCAAAAATTATAAATAAATGTAATTTTTAAAAAAGAGTTCTAAAAAGCAAAGGACTTCTAAAAAAATTTTATTATTTTTATTTATGTATATGCGTGTATTGACTGCATGTAAGAGCACCTGTGTCATGCAATGCCCACAAAGGACAGAAGAGGCTGTAGGATTCCCTGGGACTGGAGTTTCAGACAGTTAGCTGCCATGTGGGTGCTGGGATTCAAACCCGGGTCTTCTGCAAGAACAGTGTTCTTAACTGCTGAGCCACCTCTCCAGCCCCAGCAAAGAGCTTTTTTAAAAAAGTAATTCCATCACTTATATGAAAAAAAAAAAAATTTAAGTGATTCTCTAAGGAATCACACTATCTTTAGTCAGCAGATGATTAAATCTGTCCGTCAGAACTTCAAATATGTTCAATTTTTAATACTTATTTTCAAATTTTATCACTCAAGATAAAGAAGTTTTTAAACTCAAGACATTTATTCATATTACTGAAAATATGTCCCTAAAAGAGGACAACAAAAGTTAACTGGACTGTTTCCTAAAGCAGAAAATTAGTTTTCATGCAATAACAGAAAAACTGTACTAGTAAAATGTATTAATCCAATCAGATCAAAATTTATAATTCTTAAATAGCTGCTTTGGTAGAAAAATTTCTTCAGGACCTCCTTTGTAAAGTACATTCAATTTTAAAAATATCTTTTCCCCAAACCAAAGTAAAGATTTAAGGACTTCCAAAATGTACTTTACATATTAAAGGCTTCTATTTACGGCACTTTATGTAGCATGGCTTTATCAGGTGTTACAAATTTTCATTCATTTATTTTGTTAGTAAAGATAGAGACAATATGCATTTCATAGTGATAAGTTGGTTTTCACATTTAAAATTCTAACATTCAGATTTTTAATAAGGTATTCTGGCCTCTTTTTCATATTAACTGTTTTCAAGTTTTATTTTTCTGGATGGCTTGAACTAGTTTTCTTTGGGAAGAGAATTCAGAGCAGAAAATTCTGCAGTTTAGTTTTTGTTGCTATTGAATTAATATTAATTCCAATGGGAGTTTCTGACATTGAAAATGCTAGCTTGATTAATGAAAATTGAAACTTTAAATGTATGCCAAGGACTTCAATTGTTTTTCTCTTGTTAAGGAATTATTTTATTGTTTTCTCTCTGACCTCAGCTCCAAGGCATCTCTGAACCAAGTAAATTCTTATAATTATTAACACATATTAATTGTACAAATGAGTCCCACTGTGTCATTTCCATTCATGCACTGTCAGGCTTTGAAAGAGAAATTTTTCTTTGAGGCCGTGTATTATATAGTCCAATCTGATAATCCTTAGCACTTGAATTTGTTCCCCCCCATCAAAATATTTACTTTTTATTCATCTACATTATACATTTCAAAGTATATCATAAAACAGAGTTTGGGCTTTTTTATTCAAATTAGGGGCTCTCAAACTACTGTAAGATATTCAGGAGAAAAACAGAAACTCTTACCCTGGAAGAGTTCACAGTTCAATACTCAGAACACAAGTGTATACCATAATCTTTATGTGTGATTCCTTCACAGACTCATACTGTTAAGCATAACTGAAATCCATTTATTTCCACAAACAAAAATTTTCTACAAAATAGAAAATCACTCAGGGACACTTATTTAATGTCTAATGTAGCAGGGATTAAAAAAAATAACTAGGAAATTAACCCAACCACCATACAAACTATAAAACCACAATATATTTTATTAGTATGTTGCTCTACAACTTGGAAATCCGGTTTCAGAGCTTATCATCGTCACTACCATCCTTCTCTGCATCTGATGTGAGAGCAGGCAGTATATTGCACTGAAATTCTAAATCAGAACAATACAGCATCACGATATGTAAAAGGGCAGAAAACCTATCCTTCAAAACACTTTAAACGCCTCTATTTTCCAGCCTTCCAAGTTTCAACTGCTACACTTTCTACCAACTGTGAATAGCACTCAAATTCTTTCAAGGTTCACAGCATCAAAATCTTTCACTATTTCAAAAAAGAGTGTTTTACCAAATCTCATTTATAGCGTTGACATTTTTAACAAAGAGAATCCACATAAAAGATAACAGTTTGGAATGAGTGCCTGTATTTGGGAAAGTGCTATTATCTAGGTAGTCTCCAAACGCTGACTGTAGTAATAAAGAAGAATGTGACGAGGGCAAGCAGCATCAAGTGGGAAATGCTATCGAAAATCCCACAGGGCAATACACTGGCAAGAACATTCTTCCCAGAATATAGCTTCATTTCATTCGGGCAGTTTAAAGCATTTAGAAAAGCAAAACAACTTAAAAAAAAAAAACAAAAAAACAAAAAACAAACACCTTGTGTATTTGGCCTCTACCCTATGTACATTATAAACTCCCAAGAGCGTTCCAGACGCAGCTTCTGTCATTGCTGTCTTCCCGCCCTACCATTTCTTCAAGTATTTTTTAAATCTGTATTTCAAGCGCAACCCTACAACCTGGTCTGAGGGCATTTAAACCGTCTACGCTGCTGAGCCTGGCTGCATTTCCCAAGGAATTCACCCCACGAGCTGGAACCCTGTACACTGGACGACAAACATCTAACTCCTATTTCCACGGATACACATTTCCTGAAAGCACTGCGCCCGAGGATGCCGCTGGGTCCCCAGACGCACAGGCTTTGAACTCTAGGCAGTCACGACCCGCACTCCCAGCACAGCCACATGGTCACTCCAACGAGAAAGACTATCTGGCTCCGGGCGCCACTTTCTTAAGGCCACGGCATCTCCAGAAGGGGCAGAGGAGAGCGAGTGTGAGAAGAGGCCAAGGCAAGCGCCAGACGAGCGAACTGACACCTCCCCTCGGCTCTCAAAGCCATTTCTAGCGGGGCCCTTGGGAGACGCAGAGGAGGACCGGGGTCCCTTCGGCGACCGACCTCGGAGGACCCGCAGACCGACCCACGGGGACATGGAGGCAGCCCCCGGTCCACCCTGGGCGGTGAGAGCGCTGCCCGGCCCTCGCAGTGCAAAGCCCGGGCGCCGCCGCCTCTCGGCCGCGGAGGGGGGCGCAGCACTAGCTCGGACCCACATTTTGTTTTTTTTGCGCCTCTTGTCACGCGCGGGAGAAAGGGTGAGCAGGGAGAAGAGGGAAGACGCTGCAGCAACCTCGGCAAGGCCGGCGCCGTGCGCGCCTGTGCGCGGCAGAGACCCCGCGCTCCCGCCCGCGCCCGCTTACCTGCCGGGGTTGCTCCGAAGACTCGTACCACCGGCACCTTCTGGACAGGGACCTGGGTGCGGGGTGATTGGCAAATATCCAGCCCCTGCAGCGGGCTGGCCATGTAGTAGTCGGCAGTCACAATCCTCACAGAAAACATGTTCGCCGCCGCCGCCACCGCCTCCCGTTCACTGGCGACCTGGCAGCGGCGGCAGCGGCAGCAGCGGCGGCGGCTCCGAAGCGGCGCCTCCTCCCCTCCTCGGTTCGGCTCCCTCCCCTCAAGCTGACGCCGAGACGAGCGGCGGCGCGTGGGGCGGCAGGAGCTGTGCGGCGGCCCCCTCCTCAGAAGCTCCCGGCTAGAGGCAGCGGAAGAGAAGCCGTCGCGCGTTCGTCGGGTCGGGTGGTGCCGCTGGTGCTGCCGCCACGGCCGCCGCCGCCGCCGGGAATCACACGGGTTCCACGGTCCCAGGCTGCAGCTCTTGTTGCCATGATGATGATGTCACGGACGCAACCACTGGGGGAGGGGAGAAGGGGTGTGAGCGCGTGTGTAGCA